GATATATTAGGTTGGCCTAATATCTTTTTTCTCCAGTCTATTTTAACAAACTAGTTAGTAATATTTCTGAGACTTTCAATCTAAAGGTTCTTGTCTATCTGAATATTTTAATATTAGTATCTGTTTTATAAGTTTAACCTTTATAATAGTATTATTAAAAATTTGTATTACCTTTTTATTTGAGTTTTTCTAAATAAACTTCTTGTTTTCTAATTTTAATAAATTTATATAATTACAAGAATTTATCTAGAGTTTGTATTGCCTAATGTCAGTTTGCATTCTTTTGTATAATGTCATATTTACACAAATGCCTCATAATCTGTTAGTTATATTGATGCAACTGTCATTACATATATCTTAATTTAATCACTAGAAACAGTTATAATAATACAAGTATTATATAAATAATTATTTAAATTTTCATCATTAATAGAATTTGAACATTCAACTTACTACTTGAAAGGTTACCAACTTATCATTTTATTAAATCATTACATCTCTTAATTATAATATTAATTAAATATATAAATTCTATTTTAATACTAAAAAATTTTTAGAATATAGTTACTTAGTATAGTAGATAAGTTAGTCTTTAAGTAACAGATTTAATATTCAAATTTTATTTATAAAAAATTTAAAAATTATATTTGTATTATAATAAATTATTTTTTAATAATCAGTTGAATTAATAAATTTGTAATTTTTTTTTGTTAAGATGACTTCTTTGGTCTTTTAACTTTTATTAACAACTTATTGGTAATGTAATTCTATGAATCACTACAGAAAAGAGTACAATTAGCTATATGTATAACTTTTCTATATTACCTATTTAAGGAATCTGCTTGAAGGTTCCTTACCAATTGCTATATTTAACAACTCTACTTGGATGCTTCACTTTAAATTCTCTAAACCTATAATCTGTATTAATTCATTAAGTCATACTCAGATGTCTAGATCATTGTCTTAATATTAGGACTAATTTATTCTCAAGATAAATCTCCCAAAGCCTTCTGTACTTATTTATGCAGTTGACCTAAGTATTACTATGACAGAACCAATACTTGTAATCAGAGCTTAATCATTAAACTACTATTCTCTTATAGAATTCATTCAGATCCCAGCATCTACTTCACAGCATAATCCTGATATTTTAGTATACTCCTGAATTTTGTTAAACTCCTAATTCAAATGGCCTATATAGAACTAAGACCAGTCTATTGGTATATTAAATCAGCTTAATATCCTTTTTCTCTAGTTCATTCTGATGACCTGATTGGTAGTACCTTCAAGACTCCCAACCCTAAGATTCTTGCCTATCTACTACTATGACTGAATACTATAATCTTGGTATCCATTTCTCTGAGTTAGTCTTTATAGTAAAACCATTAATGATCTAATTACCTCTTTACTAAATCTTCTTAAATGAATTTTTTGTTACCTAATTTCAACAGATTTATATGAATACAAAGACTTATCTAATGTTTGCACTATCTAATTTGTCAGTTTATATTTCTCTATATAACAAGTTATACAGATGCCTTATGACTTACTAGTCATGTTGGTGTGACCACCATTACAGGTATTTTAACCCAATTATTAATAACAGTTACCATAATACAAATATTATATAGATAATTATCTAAATTTTTACCATTGATAAGATTTGAATACCCAACCTACTACTTGGAGAATTGACAACCTGACCACTTAACTAGGTCATAACACTCTCTAATCTGTAATTTTATTTTAAATAAAAATTAAAACATCTATATAAAGTATAATATTATATATATATATAGTATTGTAAAAGACTTCAGTGCAAATCTATAATAAGATCACTAAATATTATAAATTAAAAAACTGAAAAGATGAAGTTTTATTTAGAAATTCCTAAGTATGGAGATAATATAAACTTTTAACATTACTATCAGACTGATAAAAACTTACAAATCTTTTTAAAAAGATAAGCAGATAAACTAAACAACAAATATATATAAAGAAGCATATAATTAACCAGACTACCAGAACTCACTAGAAGAAAAGAATATATAAATATATACTAAAAATCTGATTACAAGTTTATTAGACCATTTAAATTAGTAGTTTAAAAGGCATAACATATTTTAATTAAGATTTTAAAATGCTTTAAACTATAAATTCAATAATTTTGTGTAATTTATACAACTCATAATAAAATTTTAGGTGCATCTCAGCATAAATGCCATTTCTAGCTATTTGCTAGGAAATAGGTCTATTTTAGATGCTTTAAAAATCTACTGCCTCTACTAGCTATACGTACAAAGGGTTTCATTCATAGGCGGGAGTTCGTTTAATTTTGCATTACTTATACAGTTTAGAGTACTTTTTAAAAAATGAAAACCAGTAAAAATAAAGTTAAAAAAAAGGTTTCATTAGAGCTGCAGGACTCCATAGTCAAAAATAAGATCTAATTCTCGTCTGTAGAAAAAATTAGCTAAGTAATAAGTTGATTTTATCGGGTTTTGAGAAGTTATGTTATTACTATACTAACTTTTTTAAACGGATGAGAATTAGATCTTATTTTTGGCTATGGTGTTCTACAGCTCTAATGAAACCTTCTATATGTTTTTTTTTACTTTATTATGATTGGCTACGTTTTTTTTTTAAAGTACTTTGTATAAATAAGAAAAATTTAAATTGAATTTATTAGCCAATCAGACAAACTTCTGCCTATGAATAAAGCATGATCACGAGGAATAATCTAATGTAAGATTTTGGACTCACATTATTTATTTATTTGATAAGTCATACACCTGTTCCCGGTATTTCTATAATTACACCAGAGCATAGGATCGATTTGCAGCTAGCCAATAAAAAATCAAGACCAGGTTAATGTAAAAGAATCCAAGCATTCTTTTCCTTATGCGAATTTACTCTTCCTATTCCTAAAGCAAAGTTCTGACTGAACCTTATTGTAACCAAAATTTTGTGTTTTCCAAGGTCATCATAAGGTTTGAAAATCGATCCTAAGCCTACACAAAGTTTGATCGAAATCACATGTCAGATGAAATGAATTTTGACTTTCGGTAAGACTTTCGACTTTAATAAAACTTTTAGTAAGACTTTCAAGACTTTTGACTTTCGGAATTGTACTTTTGGTAAGTCGAATTTACTGAAAGCATTTCAGCACTCCAAAATACTTTCAGAGTCATTCTTACACATGCCCAACATAATTTGGTTTTGAAATATGAATTAATATGAAAAATTAAATTAGCAAACTATTTTTTAGGCACCAAGTACTTTCTCCTTTGATTTATACCGGTGGGTAATTTAAAGATTAAATTTTATTTATATTTGTAAATTATATCCTAAAAAATGTATTTTTATGGCTTAGTTTGCATAAAACACCGCAAATTGGAAAAATTGAATGAAGAACGTATACTGGGTACATTCTTAACCTTTGTGAACTTAATAATATTCATATCCAAGATATAGCTATAGTTGTAATAACTGAATTGTAGTACAGTATTACCATAATTACCGGTAATTATGACAGCCTCGAATGCCATAAACCTGTAAATCATAATACAATGACTTGATGTCATATTTCATAAGCGTCTAGCCCTAACCTTCCTGAAAATAATTATTCAAATAGAATGATCAGCAACTTATTCATTAACATAAACTATAATGCCCAAACAAAAATATATGTTTGCATCAATTTGTCAATGACCTATTTGCCTCTGTAACACAAATAGTGTGATGTGCATTTTGGATTTTTAGTGGTTGACATAATCCATATAAAAGTGATCGACAAAAATTTTAGCATCACTAAACCTTATACGTATGGAGAAAAGTAAAAAAAAATAAATACAAAATAAAGAAAAATTAGCGTTTATTTGACCCTTGACATACTAAGTAAAGGTATTGTAAATGAAACTTTGCGTATAAAGCCTACTTTAATTTAGTCTTTATCACTTACTCTAACCATTAACCTTGTATTTTTAACTGCACTTATTAACGGTAAGTTTTTTTTTTATCATTTCCTTTTTTGATTTGTGTTATAGGGGCAAATAGCAAAACCATTTATATAGTCAGATTTCGTTAGACTTCATCAGTTTTGTCAGACTACTCCCATGCATACCAACCCAGTACACAATTTCAGGATACCAATTTACCTCTTATATAATATAAACCTTCCATATATTAAGCTAGCATGCGATTAAGGTCAACCGAGTAATACTTAACAGTAGTGGATAGCTTACTAGTTGTAAGTGAATCTATTCTTTTAGCTTTTGCTTTATAAATATTGCATAGTGATTATGATGCATTCTAGCTACATACAAATGGTAAAGACTTACAACCACCATTTTAGTAGTATTGAAATAAGATTTAATCATAGTTGTCATATTTGATTAACATTCTTGATCCGAGTTCATGTTCATATGTGCAGGCTAACTAATCAGATCTCATAAAAGATACTTTTGCACAAACGGTTATCGGTTTATAATATTGGAAAATTGCAATTACAAATAGAGTATACTTTGTAAGTAAAATAAGTTGTATATTTTTTGTTGTAATAAATTTTTTTATACTGTATATTTCACTTACAAACAAGTTACCGATGTTTTCAAGATAATTCTCATTTAAAGCAATGAAATTTACTAGAAGTTAAAAGCAATGCAGGTGCACAAGTTTCAGATAAGATTTAATGTTAAATAACGTAAAACTTTATTATAACAACCTAATTTAATCTAATAATTAAATTGTTCAAATTAAATTTCGCTGACAAGTATGTCTTTTGAGAGCAGATTTATAAGCCATAAGTGTGCCGGACTGTTCAAAAAGTTCGGATACCTAAAATGTGCAGCCTTAATTAAAGCTGTTAAAATATTCACTAATCAAACAATTTTTATACGATTATAAAAAATATATATATGAAATACTATCGAATAATAGATTATAAACGTTATGGCAAAATAAATGATATCAATCCCAGTTTAGTGTAATTTCAATCTTCTTCAGCAATACATTCTCTTCTTTCTTGCAAGCACTTGTTTGTGTTTTAATATTACTTTGCTACCTTCAGCATTTGATTCACTTTGAAAATTATTTATCAAGTCATCAAATTCTTCAAACGAAATATTCATTAAAGGTGCCAAACAGTCTTTTACATTTTTATAAAACAATATAATAACTTCAAGAAGAAATTCTCCTTCAGTGTCGCCACTTCCAATCTGTGTTTCCACTATTCGATACACTATAGATTCGGCTTTCTCAGTTTCCTTAACGTAATTTTCAAAGCTTGTCGATATATCATAATCAATATTTTGTTTTTTTATCCATGATATCCCTAAATTATAAAATATATTAAGAAAATATTTTATAATACAGTGAGGCCTCCTAAATACAGATCTTAATGCAGAACCTCTTTAATGCAACTTCAAATTCTGCCTCAAATATCTATTTGACCCATAAATGCATGCTTTTTTGTACATTACTAAAGTTTATCTCCATGAACTGCATTTAAAGAGATCTCACTGCAGATATATTTTAAAAATAAAAGCACAATACACATACATGCGTTATATAATCGTGTAAATGCTGGTACATAAACATTATCCGAATCATAATCATATATAACCTAATATAATAACGTTAGAACCTGTAAAAATATTATAAAATTAAACTATTTCTCACCTCTAACCAACCTTCAGGCTTTAAAACTCTAAAGATTTCTAATAAAACTTTTCGAAATGTATTTTTTTCCATATATAAAAATTTTGATTCAGAAAAAATGTAATCAAATTCATTAGCGGGGAATGGTAGCTTTTCAAATATATTGCATTCAATAAATTTAACATTATCGATTTTATTGTCAAATTTTGGTATAATAGAATCAACTGCGTAGAATTCTGAATTTGGATAGTCAGCAGAAACCTAATGTAGTTCTAGAAATTAATATCAAGAAAAAAATAAAGTCACTAACTTTACAGGATAATAGTATTGCCAAATACATACTTCTATAGCCCAAATTCCACCATCAGAACTTTTTTTTTTACGAAAAAAAACTCAAATTAGTAAGTTTTTGTAAAAGTATTATTAAATAACAAGGATATAATTTACCGAAATTCTAGTACTTTAGCACCATTTCGTAACTTTTCACGAACTGGGGCACCTACTTTGCCATTAAATATATATTCGTAGAAAGCACGAGCATAAAGTCTCGTATTGTTTATTTCTTCTTCATTTTTAATAGGACTGCGAAAATCTTTTTCAGATACACTCTTGTTCTCTTTGATTTGTGAAAGATGGCTCATTACAAAGAGTTTTAGAAGGATAATTAATAAATCTGAAAATACTAATCATTATATTTATTCTAAAATTCAGTTCATTTGTAACTTTTAAACAGAATAAATCATATGTGATGATTCTAAAAGAACACCATAAATGGGTAGACAGTACATATTCTGAAAATCAGGCATTTATATTGCATCATATATGTTACCATAACTTTTTTTTGCTGTACATTATTACTATATTTAATGCTTTTATGAATCTAAATTTAATTACAACTATTGTAATTTTAGTAATTACTAAAATAATTATAAAAGACTTTCATATGATTGGCTGTTTAAATCAATTTGATTTTCAAAAAAAAGTATATCCCTTAAATCGTCATATTAATCATGAAAATTTGCATGCCAAGATTTTAAAAGAAAATTGAACACTAAAAAAAATACCAAGTATGAAATCACAAAGTATGTGGCTTAGAAGAGAAAGAACTGGTCACATGATGTCCGAAAAATCTTTAAAGATTATTTATAATCTGATTAATGTTTGTATCAGTGTTAGATTTAGCAGGTTTATAGTAAAATTTCTCAAGGAAATCTTTTTGTTAGCATAGAAAGTGATTTATTATGAGAAATAAGCGATTTTTTTTTAAAAAACAGACGGTTTGTTTTGATTTTCGCGATCATGATACGTTACACCAAAATTGAGATTCGTTATTGGCTAATTTACAATTGACCAGTTCTTTCTTCACAACTATCTTGGATCGAGATAGTCTACTGTCACGTACCAAAATTCACGTACCTACTACTGTACTATAAACTAAAAACTTGTCACGTGCTAATATGCTTACCCTAAAGTTAGGGTACGTGCAAGTCATATGATCTGGTACGTGCCCGTAGACCGGCCCTGGATCGCCGTAAAAAAGTTACTCTCACATGATCTGTTAATCATAATCGACCAATCAAATTTAATCAACGGCGTTCTTTTTTCGTAAAATTAAGTTTTTTTAAAAAACTTTGAGCGAAGATATCTCAAAACTACCTAAGCAAAGTCGATGAACTTTTTTATTTTAGTTCTGGCGGTCTCTAGAATTAAAACAAAAAAAAGGCATTGAATTTGCTCGAGTAGTTGCCGAGATATCTTCGCTCAAAGTTAGTAGAAACTCAAAACACCTATAATAAAAAAGTAATAAAAATTTTTTAAAAAAATTGAGTTAAGAGAATTCCGGCAACTACCTAAACAAATTCGATGAACTTTTTTTGTTCAAATTTTAGAGATTTCTAAAATTAAAATAAAAAAAGTTTATCGAATTTGTTTAGGTAGTTGCCGGAATTATCTTCGCCATTTTTTTATTGCTTTTTTATTATAGGCGTTTTAAGTTTCTACTAACTTTGAGCGAAGATATCTCGGCAACTACCCAAGCAAATCCAACCTTTTGTTTTAATTCTAGAGACCTCCAGAATTAAAATAAAAAAAGTTTCATCGAATTTGCTTAAGAGTTGCCGAGATATCTTCACTCAATTTTTTTAAAAAAAAATTTATTACTTTTTTAGGTGTTTTGAGTTTCTACTAACTTTAGGTGAAGATATCTCGGCAACTGCCAAAGAAAACTTGATGAATTTTTTTTTATTTTAATTCTAGAAATCTCTAGAATTAAAACAAAAAAAGGTTGCTCAGGCAATTGTTGAGATATCTTTGCCAAATTTTCTTAAAAAAATTTTATTGCTTCTTTATTATAGGCGTTTTGAGTTTCTACTGACTTTGAGCAAAGATACTTCATCAATTTTCTAAGCAAATTTGGCAAATATTTTTTTATTTTAATTCCAAAGATCTCTAGAATTAAAGAAAAAAATTTCATCAAATTTGCTTAAGTCATTACTGAGATATCTTTGCTCAAAGGTTTTTAAAAAAATTTTTATTATTTTATTATAGGTATTTTGAGTTATTCTGCTTCAAGTAAAGATATCTCAGCAAACACCCAAACAAATTCGATAATTTTTTTGGTTTTAATTTTAAAAACCCCTAAAATTAATTTACAAATAATTATCAAATTTATTTATAAATATGCCAAGTTATCTTTATTTAAATTTTTAAAAATTTAAGATTACACAAAAAATGTAAAAAAACAATCTAATCAAACTTTTAAAAAAACTACATTATTGTTCACGCAATAACAAACCTAATATTAGCATTTTTGTATATTAAAAATCAACATTATATTTTAAATTTAATAAAATCAATATTATAAGATCAAAATAAAATTAATTTAATATTATACAAACTTATATATATATATATTTTTTTAACATTTTGCCAGCTTTGCCAAAATTCTTTATTAAGAAATTGCATATGTAATTATACAAATATTAACTTAATTTTTAGGTTTGACATATCCTGGCTACTGTGTTAGCACTCAAAGGTGACTTGCTGCATTAGAATGAGTTTATACTTACTACTAGAAGGTTATTCAGGTTAGTCTTTGAGGCTATTTCAGTAAGCCCTGTTATTATTAATTAATTTCCTAACTGTATTTCTTTATATATCTTCCATATTTTCATTTTTTGTTTCCTTTCTTTTCTTTATATCTTTTATTTTTTTTAAGTTTTTGTCTCTTAATCTTGGTAAAACTTTGTGTGATACTTTGCTTTGTTGTTTTACTGTCTTATTTTTTTTTTCTTATACTGATTCCTTGACTTTTTCCTATTCAAATACTTTATTGTATTTTTGTTTCCAAATTTTTTTATAAAACTCATTCCATATAGTATCTACTATACTCATTAGAAATTTTTTTGTTTCTTGTACTGAAATTTGAATATTTTGTAACCTCTTTACTAACTTTTCATGTAGAAGACCTTTAATAAGTGTTTTCTTTATTTCTGTATTTTCTTCTTTTGTTTGGTTCTAGATTGCTTTTTTTAGCTATATTTGTATAATACTCTATTTTTTCTCTTCTGGAAATATGCTCTATATTATTGTTATTGTCAATATTTCTGTCTTCATCCAATAGTTTTTATAAAAGGAACATGTCATTAAATGGTTCTGATCTTCTTCTTTTTCTTCTTTACAAACTATACAATTTATATCTGCATACAAGTTTGGTTATTTTATTACTAATTCCTTAAATATGAACATTTTTTCTTGTATATATTTAAAGAGTATACTTAGTCTTTTAGTTCTTGTAGTTGAGATATATTTTGTTCCACTTTGATTCTTGATCTTTTTTCTATAATAGTACCCAGCAATACTCACTTTTTTCTATAATAGTACCCAGCAATACTCACTTTTTTCTATAATAGTACCCAGCAATACTCACTTTTTTCTCTTTCTTATTCTAGTTTTTTAATTATTAATACACAGCTTCAATCTGTATTGTTTCTAAATTAAGAACTTCTTTAATAAATTCTTGTGTTGGGTTTTTTATTACTTTGTCTTTTTAAAAAAGTATTACATTAGATCTTAAGACAGGTTCTTCTATAATTTTATTTTTATCTTATATATTTGCTTCTTTTTTTGTTATACTATCTGTTCTGCTATTTACCTATTATTACTATGTCTTTTTATCTTTATCAACTCTAAATTTAATTCTTTTGCTTATATTATACTTTTATATTTACAACTAAGTTATAACTTTTCCTTTTCATTCTTTTTTATATTATTATATGTTATGAATTATTATGTATACTTGCTATAGCTACTGCACTATCTGTATATATTTTAATTTTACTTTTATTTGATACTATAATAACTATACACCAGATAGCTAGCAGCTTTGTCTTTGTTGAAGACGATCATTCTCTAGTTTTGATAGCACCTTCATTTATTATATACTCTTCTTTATTATTCATTTACACCCAACTAGCTCTTATATAGTTTAGATTTTAAATTTTTTTTTGTTTTTATTAATGATTCATTTATATAAAAAATCAAATCCTCTTGCTTGACATTGTTCTCTTTAATGTGCTTATATTTTTCTACTAATAAGTCTATAATACTATTACTAATTTTTTGTTTCTTAATTATTCCAATGTCTCTGTTTTCTATACAAATTTTTTTTATAGAATTTGAGATCTTGTAATCTTTTTCTCTTACAATAAAATCTAATATATTTGTATTAATTTCTAGTTATCATACATCTTTTCTATTTGTGTATCTTGTAATCATTTTATGGATTTTCTATTTTTTATATTTTTTTTCACAACTATTATCAGTACTATTGTTTTTATGTTTACAGTCTTTATATTTTTCTAATATTGTTTTTTGTCTTTCTGGTTAATAAATTGCCTTCTAGTATTCAACTTGTATTGTTTTAGATATTCTAGCTACTATTCTTCCTATTAGTACTTCTTCTTCTTCATGGGTTAGTGTATTATTCATAACTATCCAATCTTTTATCTTGCATCATCTGATAGTTCTTTTACTTATACTTTAATTCTTCTTTTATTTAAGACTACAATTCTAAATTCTGGTTTCATTATTCTGTAGCTTGGCTCTTCTTCATTTTTATTTCTAGAACTTTGTTGGTTTATCTTTGGTATTGTCTCTTTTTAGGAAACTTAATTGCTGCTATGTAATCATTTTGTTTCCTTCTTTGTCAATTAACTAATACATAAACATAATACCTAATTCTTTTAATTTAGATGTAACTATTAGTATAAATTTTCTTTCTAAAATTTCATATATTCTTATACTTTTCTTATTAAATTTAGGTTTTCATAATTAAAGTTCAAAACTAATTGTAATTCTTTTCTTTTAGCATTGTTAAACATGTTAAATTATTTTTCTACAGCTTTGTATTTGTTTTAAAAATATTTTCTTACATGTTTTTAGATACACTTATTAAATAAAAACTATTTTCTATTCTTATATTGGTTATTACTTCTTTTGGGCCTGCTGTATTGAGTCAATTATGTAAACTAATAATTTGCTTAAGCAGTAACTAGTTTCATAATGAGTTAAGGTTACACAAGTTTCTGTAATATATTATACTATTTCTTACAAATTATGTGATTTTTATTTTTCTTTTTGC